TTTGCTTTTGTGTGTACCCACACACACGAGTGTGTACGTGTGTGCGTGCATGTGTCCACTGTTGTTTTGTGTTTGTGTATGTGCTTGTGCGTGTATGTGTGTTCGTTCGTGCGCGCGCGTGTGTGTGAGTGTATGTGCGGGTGTGTGTATGTGTGTGTGTGTGTGCGAGCGCGCACGCGTATGTGTATGTGTGCACGCGCGTGCGTGTATGTATGTGTGCGCGCGCGTGTGTTTGTATGTGGGTGTGCGTGCGTGTGTGTGTGTGTGTGTGTGTGCGCGCGCGTGTGTGTGTGTGTGTGTGCGTGTGTGTGTGTGTTTTTTTGTGTGTGCGCGTGAGCGCGCGTGTGTGTATGCGCGTGCGTGTGCGTGCGTGCGTGCGGTGTATGTGCGTGCATGTGTGTTCGTCTGAGTGCGTGTTTGTGTGTGTGTATGTGCGTGCGTGTGCTTGCGTGCGGGTGTTTGTGCGTGCGTGCGTGTTCGTCTCAGTGCGTGTTTGTGTGTGTATGTGTGTGTGTGAGTGTGTGTGTGCGCGCGCGTGTGTGTGTGTGCCCAGATAACGGAGGCGGAGAATGGAGACGTGGAGGCGGAGGTGAATGCAGCGTAGTATATGGTGAAGGCGGAGAGGAATTTGTGGTGAAGTCGGAGATAGTGGAAACAGGGAATTGTGTTGGAGGCGGAAATAATAGTGACGGCGCGTGGTGGTGGCGACGGAGGGAGCGGAGTTTATTGTTGAGGCGGATGGAGCAGAGTTTATGGTGGATGCGGAGGTAGCGGAGGTGGAGAACGAAAGCTTAGAGAGGGGTGCGGTGATAGATGTGGAGGCGTAGGGTGCAGAGGTGTTGGAGGGTGCACTGGAGTGCAGTAAAGTGGTTACTGCGTGAGGGCAAGTGAGGCTCATATAAAGGACAGTTGGTTACAGCGAAAAACAGTGTAGATGGTAAGTGGATATCGATACTGTCCCTAACGATGTTACTACGAGGTTATTCATTTTTCCGAATATCAGCTTGGATGCCTATTGGTACTAGAGACAAAATGAAAAGACTTTTGTTTTGTGACGGTTTCATCATAACTAACAAAGCAAACCCAAACTCGGCATACCTAGTTCTACTAGTCCAGGTGTTACAGTGTTAGTTACCGAAGTACACCTTCAGGTCACTTCAGCAAGTCCGGAGGTAAGGACTCATCATAACTAACAAAACGAGCCCAAACTCAGCACACCCAGTTCTACTAGTCCAAGAGTTCCACTAGTAATCCCGAATTACATTTTGAGGTCACTGCATCAAGACCGGAGGTAAGGTCTCATGATAATATCTCATGTAATAGTTCGATTCTATATCTATCAATTTTGTAAACGCGTCCTTACAAATCTTGATTATGAAGATGTAGAAAACATGTTAACTGGTTTATGGTAAACACACACACACAAACACACACACACATACACACACACACACGCACACGTACACGCACACGTATGCACACAAACACAACACACACATACACACACACACACACACACACACACACACACACACACACACACATACACACACACACACGCAAACACGCACTCAGGCGAATACCTTATGTCACCGTTGCCATCACTTCTGCTACATGAAGGGGCGTTGTCGAGTAATTCGTTAAAAAGTATTTTATTTCGACCACAAGGATCGTAGATGTTAGTAATAATACAAACTTAAAACTATTTACCTAATTTTAAAACTATATATATAAGACAGGCCGGATTAGTCAGCACGTGCACCATATGACAATGGTTCAGGTACTGACTTCAAACCTGTCAGAAAATGCATTGGAACTGGCCCGCACCCTACGCACCAGGAATGTGCATCGTTTACGCATGGTGGTGTAGAAACAATCCACACGCGCATCCGCGAACATACCCGGCGCATTACAATAACGAGGTAGACCAAACAGCACCCTGAATGCATTACATAACACGCATTTAATCTGTAGCTTGTACTGCCAAAGACACGAAACGGCACAACAACGCGGCTGCATACAGCCAATCTGATCGTTTATCTTATCGTTTGCTGTGCTCTGATTGGCTCATTTAAATCGGAACAACATTTTCCGTAACCATCGCAAGGTGGTTTTGTATATCGGATCAACTTCGGCCAACGCTAGCAAACAGTCTCTTGAGTGCAGATGTTGATCCGGTCGGAGCCACATTAGTTACCAGAGATGCATATTGGTTCAACAAAAGGCGCCGGATCAACATGCGTTTTCGGATCCACAAAGTGCTCGCGTGAAGTCGCGTCTGATCAACATTTACCGTAAAGAGAGATATATATATATATATATATATATCATCTCCGTCCCCCTCGTGCTCTAATCCAGAATCTCGAAACCTTTCAGCTCGAGTTACAAAACCGCTCTCAGTGCCTAGAGGATTGCAATGCAGTGGACGATATGAATGACAAGCTCGTGGAAACTGTCCATGCGGTCGGAGCTAAGTTCTGCAAGACCCGCCGCAGAAGAACACAAAAACTCTCCGATCACACTCTTAATCTCATGGCTGTTAGACGGGAGATGAGGCTGCAATCGTCAACAGGTTTGACAGCATACAGGCAACTGAACAGACAGATCTCCAAATGCATGCGGCGAGACTTACGCAACTTTAATACTGCTCGTATTAAAGAAGCGATCGAGCGAAACCAGGGCTCCAAAGTCTTTGCCAGAGATCTGTCTGCCAGAAAGAGCCAACTGTCAAGGCTGAAGACTGAGTGTGGCAACATTGTTTCCGGGACACCTGAGATTCTGAGTGAGATAGAGAGTTTCTATGGGCAGCTGTACACATCATCGTTGGAGCCACACGCAAGTGTGAGTAACGATCCAAGAGCAAGTCTTATCCGACACTATTCCGATGATATCCCGGACGTCAGTCTGAGCGAGATTAGAATGGCTCTCCACCACCTTAAAAACGGCAAGGCCCCGGGCGAGGATGGAATTACAGCGGAGCTTCTGAAAGCGGGTGGAACACTGGTAATTGAAGTCCTTCAGAAGCTCTTCAATTCCGTCCTCCATGGTGGCACTACTCCGGAGGCGTTGAGCAGAAGCTCGGTGGTCTTGTTCTTTAAGAAAGGCGACAACGCTCTCTTGAAGAACTACAGACCGATTTCCCTTCTGAGCCGCGTCTACGTGCTGTTTTCGAGAGTCATTACGAATCGTCTCGCACGCAGACTCGACGACTTCCAGCCTCCCGAACAAGCCGGTTTCCGAAAAGGCTTCAGTACCATAGACCACATACATACCCTTGGGAAAATTGTACAGAAGTCCGAGGAGTACAATCTGCCACTTTCCTTGGCGTATGTGGACTATGAGAAAGCCTTTGATTCCGTCGAAATTTGAGCGGTGCTACAGTCTCTTCAGCGGTGCCAAGTTAACTTTCGGTTTATTGAAGTGCTGGAGTGTTAGTACAGTAAGGCTACGATGGCTTTCCGAGTACAGAACCAGAGTACGAAATCTATCCAACAGCAGAAAGGTGTAAGACAGGGTGATGTTATATCCCCGAAACTCTTCACCGCTGCTTTGGAAGACGTTTTCAAGCTACTGGACTGGAAACGATACGGTATTAACATCAATGGCGAGTATATCACTCACCTTCGATTTGCCGACGATATAGTCCTTATGGCAGAATCGCTGGAGGACCTTAGCACTATGCTCAATGACTTCAATGGTGTCTCTCAACGGATAGGTCTTAAGATGAACATGGACAAAAAAAGATCATGTTTAATGTCCATGTCACACCTATGCCGGTAGTTGTTGGGAGCACTATGATCGAAGTTGTTGACGAGTACGTTTACCTGGGACAAATAGTCCGACTAGGTAAGTCCAACTTCGACCGAGAGGTCAATCGACGGATTCAACTCGGCTGGGCAGCGTTCGGGAAATTACGACACATCTTCTCGTCAGGTATACCTCAATCTCTGAAAACTAAAGTGTATAACCAGTGCGTGTTGCCAGTGATGACTTACGGATCTGAGACGTGGTCCTTCACTGCTGGCCGTATGAGGACGCTCAAGGTCGCTCAGCGAGCTATGGAGAGGGCTATGCTCGGAGTTTCACTGCGTGATAGACTCAGAAATGAGGATATCCGCAGTAAAATCAGAGTGACCGACATAGCCCAACGGATTAGTAAGCTGAAGTGGCAATGGGCCGGCCATATAGCTCGAAGAACCGATAACCGATGGAGAAGAAAGGTTCTCGAGTGGCAGCCTCGTACCGGTAGGCGTAGTGTAGGGCGACCCCCCCGTAGATGGAGTGACGACCTGGTAAGACATGCAGGAAGTCGAGGATGCAGGTGGCTCAGGACCGTGCTTTGTGGCATTACTTGGGGGAGGCCTATGTTCAGCAGTGGACTTGTGAAGGGTTGTAATGATGATGAATGATGATGATATATATATATATATATATATATATATATATATATATATATATATATATTTATTTTGATTCTTAGTCGAGGATAAGTGTCTATGGGCCACATAATTCATGTGCTTGTTTGTCACCCATATAATTAAATCGTTGTGCTGCAATCACCAATTCGCTTTGCAATTAAAAGCGGATTGGAATTAGCAGTAGTACAATTGTTTTAAATATATCCTACAATGCAACAGACACACAAGATGTAAAAGTAGACAGACAGACCTCTGTCATGATTTAATAGAAATTTACCTGCACTGTGACGTTGGCCTTCAATTTCTTCAACCCTCACTAGATGTCTATTTTTATTAAAATTTGTATAATTTTTAAACAAATCGAGGTATTAAATTCGTGTTCTTATTACAAAAGTCATTTACTATTTTTCCGTCTTTTAAGTTAACAAAACAAAACAATTAAAAGCCCTTAATAACTCATATATCGTAGCAAATCACTTTGAATAAATATTTAAAAAATTTCATAAATAAGTATTCATAGAAATATCTTGGACACATTTTGAAAAAATATTTTTAAAATATACATATTTTTAAAATACTTACGATAATATTTTTTCTCAAAATGATTTTGTTTATCCACCCACTCTTGTAAAACGTTGATAGCTTGATCCATACTTCCTGGGTTAAGCAAATTGTAATCCTTGCGAATGGTTTGAAGTGTATCCTTATTGAACTCGAGCAGAGTGTTCATTGGTAGCGATTCCATTTTTTAACCTCCAGCTGAAATTAAGCACCTTATCATCCGAGTGCCAGATAAGTACTACAGAAACTTCGCTTCGGTGTTAAATAATAAATGGAGGTAACTCAAATGCATTTGTAGATTATAGGTACCTATAAAAACTGCTTTACTATTAATAACTACACAGATAAGAAACTAAGGATTTATGTATTTTTTTATTTTTTCACGTTATTTTTAAATAACCAAAACAATTATTCACGTTAGCACTTCCATTAACTGTCTTTAGTAATAACATTTTCCAAGGCTGTAAAGCGCAAGAGTTTATAGACTAAATTTGCCTGGATACATCATTTTCTTTTGTATTTATATGCACATAATTATATATCATCATTATTGAAATCATTTACAAGTTACACAGCGTGTTCATGCAATGGCTTTTATAAGTGAGTTACCGGAGACGTACCGGCAGCCATACGTAATATGTGTGTGGTGTTCAAGTGGCTAACTACTGAAGTATTATTGCATAATATATTGTTCCATATAAGGAACTTCTGACAGTATGGTCTATATATATAGAAATTGTACTTGAAAAATAATTGTTATATTGGTGTGTAGACTGCTTAACAGTGTCCAAGACCATGGTAAACGAGGACTCGTTAATCGTTATGTCTTAGACATATCATCTTAATGCCGGTGGTAAGCGGCTTTGTTGTAGCAATACAACTTGCCCGTGAGTATCGCACACCCCTACCGATTGTGGGCGGTGTCTTAGCGTATAGCGTTATGATAGTTCGTCTATCTTTCGTATTAGGTAGAATGTGTTTGGTAACACTTTTAAGTGCAATAAAAATATAATAACCAAAAAACAAACTAAATGTATTGTCTAGTACTTTTCATTGAAATTATAAGTTAAATAGTGCACTGTTTTATAACTAATAGTATAAAGTTGCAAGTACATTAAGCAATTATAAGTACTTTAAGATCGACGGAAAATTCTTTGTTGTTCCAACAAAATATAGTGCCTGTCTGTGTACAAATGTTTTATGAATATATACTATCTTTTACATGTATTTATCATCCCAAATACCAACATGATTAAAGCCAACATTTGTAGGTGATAATATGTCCATTTATAATATTACCTACACACGCTATACCTATTGTAAAAAAGATTTAAAAAAGAATAGTAGAAAAGATTTAAGAAAAGTTTTAAACTGGTTGCGCTAATGATAAAAAACAAAAAGTATAACGCCACTGCCTAATAAATGCAGTTGTGGTGTTTTGTAAATCATCATTTTCAAAGTAGAATATTAATAGTAGAACAGACGGACAGATATTCACCGTGTTAAAACTTTGTTTTAATATGTTTTGGTTGATTAGTAAGTACTTATATATCTTAAATGACATTAAAGCCAAAATGACTGGGTAATAAAATACCCATTTGATCGATCGTTTGTAAGATTGAATGCCTTGTTTACAGAAAAAGGTTATCAAGTTCTCTACACTCACCATAGGAAACACCTTACGAAACGCTATAAGCTGCTATTTTACGCTATTATTCTGTGAGAGCGTCGTCTTACCCCGACTGAGCCGACCCATTCGTGCTACAACTAATACACATGGTGGTGCTACATCTGGCATGTTGTAAACAAATGTGAATTTAGTTGGATTTATAATATCGTGATTGTACTATCATTGCTGATTATTTATTTGTTACTTCGTATAAGTAATGCATAACATAAAAAGGTGATTGACATACACTTGTTTGTTTAAAGTATGAGTGATAACAATGAAACAACAAAACAAAAACAGTCAGTGTGGCTTTATTTAAAAAAAAAAGAATATCGTGAAGGTGAAATAAGTGGTTTGTAAGATATGTAAAAAAGCATTTTATAGATTTTAAAATACTACAAACATAAAAAATAACGTAGAAACACTACAATAAAATAAATATTTAATATTTTCATTTCATTTCATATTGCACATATTACTTATTTAATAAAGTTACATAGTGAAAAATATTTAACTAAAGTAATCGCTACTCTCAACACCAGTGGTAAACTTTTACTTGAAAATTAGTGTACCACTAGAATGACATACAACATAAATTAACCCAAGTGGCTCGAGTCACAAAACTCTACTCGAGTCGCATCTTTATCTTACGACCAATGCAGCATCTGTCTATAATTTAGTGATGTAATTGGCTTACTAATTCCAGCAATTTATTGATATATTATGTAATATTATTATAAATTGATATTACGTAATATGTTTATTATTTAATATCGATTTACACCATTTACATAAAGTATACTTTGTGATAGTCAAATTATTAATAACATTAAGACTTACGCCATAACTCATAACGTTAGAGTGATATTATTTCATGAAGATTGTCGATACTCAAAAAAATATATATAACTACCTATTAAGTTAATTAATAATTAAAGGGTTATGGATGTTTTTATCATTTAAAAGATGTTAGTCAATTGAATATGAAAACTTTTATTCTTCAACTGCACAGCAAGAACACGATGTACAATAATAATAGAAAAGAGAGTCATATATAATGCTGTCACCTGGTTAAACTTTTTAAAAGCTTATTTAATTCAACACTCCCACTAAAAGTTTAACCATATATCTCGCATTGAAATTTAATCACACTAGTTACAAAAAAATGATCTCTAAAGTAGGCAAAACATTGAACTGGTAACGCTTTTGTTAACATGTCTGCTAATTGACTGTTACTAGGAATTTAATTTAATTTAATTATACCTAAATCAACCTTTTCCCTTACAAAATTGTATTTCACATCTATGTGCTTAGTTTTTTTATGATAAACAGGATTGCGTATTAATTTAATGGCGCTCTGATTATCAACATACAATTGAACACATTTAATATTTTCACCTAAATCTGACAATAGTTGCTGTAACCACAATATCTCTTTTGCAACTTCACAAGCTGATACAAACTCAGCCTCAGTAGTGGAGAGAGCAGTAGTCTTCTGCTTCTGACTACACCATGTAATAAGTCCTCCATTCATATTGAAAATGTACCCTATAGTAGACTTACGCGTGTCCACATCGCCTACAAAATTTGGGACTGAACAGCCAGTGAGATCACTGCTTTCTCCATACGTTATACACAAATCTTTAGTGTTTATTAGGTATCTAATAACACTTTTCACAGCATTCACATGTTGCTGACTTGGATTATTAACATATCTACTCAAGACATTGACAGAAAATGAAATGTCAGGTCTTGAAACAGAGCTCAAAAATTACAAGGAGCCTATAGCTTCTCTGTAAGGAAAGTTGACAATACTATCATCCAATTTCTTTGTAATAACTACATTTGCATCTGCTGGAGTACTAGCAGAATTTGAATCACTCATCTAAAATTTCTCTATACTTTGTTCTATATAGTCTCTTTGATGAATACAGATACAATTATTTCTTTTTATTATTTCTATCTCCACAAAATATTTCAAGTTTAGTTCTTTAAAAATTAAAGCTAAATGCTTGTTTTAAATATTCTATAATCTTTTTAATCATTGAGGAACTGGAAGAGACTATAAGTCCATCATCAACATAAATTATTGTAAAAACTTTTACCTCATCAAATATACCTATATAAATACAATTGTCAGCCTGAGATTGTTTAAAACCATATTTTACCAAGAACTCAGTAAATCTTCTATTCCAACAACGAGATGCCTGCTTAAAACCATACAAAGACATATCAAGTTTTAAAACACAATCATTTTTCAGTGACACACCCTCTGGTATTCCTATAAAAATGTCCTCATCTAAATATTCATTCAAAAAGTCAGTTTTTACATCAAATTGTTAAATTTCTAAATCATACCTAACTGCAATAGAAAGGATAATTCTTATAGAGTCGTATCTCGTTGTCGGAGAGAATATTTCTTGGTAATCTATATCTTTAATTTGACTAAAACCACGTGCACACAAAAAATCTTTAAACCGCTTAACCTGGTTACTCTCATCCCTCTTGATATTGAAAACCCACTTTGTAGTAAGAGTACGTTGACCAGACCTTTCAACTGAAGTCCAAGTATTATTCTCTATATGTGCAAGCAATTCTTCATCTATAGCTCGCAACCAATCATCTTTTTGTGGACTCTTCATTGCTTCAATATATGTTTGTGGCACTGAAGATTCTACTAGGTTAGCTTCAAAGATTCTATTATGTCTTAGTCTCAAATTTATATTGCTCTGGATTGTGTCATCATCTATATCTTGAGAGGGTTCATATGTTGGGTCATCACTATTACAATTCTGCAAGCTGCCCTCGTTCTCTGATGATGTACATTCTATGAGAGTATCCTCTGCATTAGTTCTTTGCGTCTCTTTTTCTTGCTCTAGTCTCTCTTCATCATCCAAGCATATTTGTGTAATATTTTTTCTTATATTTGGAACATGCTGTTCATCAAAGATGACATTTCTTGATATTTTCACCCTTTTGGTTTCTAGGCTGAACATCCTATAATTGTTGTTATCATACCCAACTTATATCATTTTCTCACTCTTATTTTCAAGTTTAGTTCTAAGTTGATCAGGAATCTGTACATACACTATGCTTCCAAATATCTTGACATGGCCTAAATGAGGTTTGATGCCATTCCATAGTTCAAATGGTGTTTTCTGAGGAGTCTGGCTGGAGGAAGTCCTGTTTAGTAAGTATACTGCACAATTGATAGCCTCTGCCCATAGGTCCAGTGGTACATCCCTAGCATACAACATTAAGCGTGCATTTTCCACAACCGTGCGGTTTTTTCTCTCTACACGCCCATTTTGTTCAGGCGTATAAGGTGCAGTACGTTCATGTACTATAACTTCTTTGTTCAGGTAGTCCTCGAAAGATTTGTTGACATACTCCCTTCCATTATCAGTATGCAATATCCTTACACTGTGCATATAATTATTTTTGATCATATTTTGTATTTCTTAAATACTTCCGTCACATCACTTTTCTGTTAGATAAAATATACATATCTGTAA